GTTTAGGGGCAAAAGGGGAGTGGGGGTGGATGTGGGGTTTATGGAGGGTTGGTGGGGGTGGTGGGTGAGAGTAGGGTTTGTGGGGGGGTATGAGGCCTGGGTGGGGATTTGCAGTTTGTGCATGGGTATGTGGGAGAGGGGTTTGTGGGGGTGGTTTGGGGGTGTTGAGTTTGTGGGTAGGTTATGGTGGGGTTTGTGGGTATGTGGGGACTGTGGGTGCGGGGCTACTCAGGAGAGGTGGGTATCCTGCCTGCTCCCCGCAGGGTGCACAGCCCCCCTGCAGCAACAGCAGCTGTCAGGCACTCAGGACCACCAACCCTAGCCTGTCCCATACCCCCTGATGCCTCCATTTCCATTTTCACTGACTGACTTTCTTGCCTGCATTGCACGCCAGGCTCTGGATTCTTTACTATTTCTTCCATGCAGGCACAGCGTACACGGCAACTGCAGGTGCTTCCTCAGCCTGGTGAAGGGTTTTTCAAAGTGAAAGCTTGCTAAGATATATTTCTCCAACTATTCAATTGGTCTACTAAAATATATCAGATTGACCCAAAGAACTTTGTCTGCCAGTGCCATATACTTAGACAAACACAGCTACAACCTACACCCCTAGCACCTGTCCCCAGTCAGCTGACCAGAAGGAGGCAGGAGCCTGGGCATATCTAAGGTCCATTTTGACGAAAGTCAAAATGAAACAGTGCTGTTTCGTACAGCCCTAGAAAGCATTGAACTGGATATCTTGACAGTGAGCTATATCATTCATTCTCTATCCCCTATTCAAAACTCTCTGGACATCCATGATTTTTTGGTTAGGAGATGTAAGAGGAAACATCTCCAACCATTCTATCATCCATGAATTTATCCAGTCCCTCCTTGACCTGGCTGTGGTATCTGCTTCCCCCAGCTCCTCTGGCAATGAATTATATGCATTTTCTATGTGTTACATAAAAAATAATTTTATGTTAGTTTTAAACCTGACACCTACTAATTTCAGCAGGTGCCCCTTAGTTCAAGTATTCTGGTACTTAGTAAACAACAGTTCCCTGTTCACTTGGTCCACACCCTTCATGAGTTTTTCTACATCATATTCTCACTGCCTCCCCACACACACACCCACATACATTCACCCCTCCAGCCCTGTCCTTTCCAAACCGAAGAGTCCTAGTCTTTTTAGTTTCTCCTGGTATGACAATTGTTCCAGGCCCCTGATCATTTGACTGCCCTTCTCTTTACCTTTTCTAATTATACAATATCCTTTTTGAGATAAGAGGAACTGTGGCCAGCAGGTGCTTCAGAAAAAAAAGGATTCAGCCTCTTGGAGCTCAGAGCATTCTGGGATACTCAACTTGGCTGGAATAGCTGTGGGAAGTGGCCACAAGGTAATGGAACAGGAACAAAATTAGACAGAACTCTATGCTGAATAATGAGTGCTTTAAACCAGCGCAGCCAGTCCAGAGGTTAGGAGCTCCAAAAGACACCTAAACGTATCAGGTAACAAGGCCCCTGGTTACATAGGCTTCAGGGCAGAAACCTTACAACTGGAGCTTGTAGGTAGCCAGTGGCACATCAGAATACAGCACAGGGCAGGGTAGGGCAGGGGACTGGGCACTAGGAGAACACCCCCTGCCCCTTTCTATCTTCCCAAGCCTTTAGCCTTTTTTCCACTCTCCTGCTAGGCCTACAGGAGCCCAAACAGTGGCTGGACTGCAGAGCCCCCATCCAGAGCTCTGTAGGGGGCAGCAGGCAGGGAACAGGTGCAGCATGGGCTGAGGCAGCCACAAGCTGCCAGGTGGGTGCCATGGGAGCTGCATCTGGGGCAGATAAGGCAGGCTAAGATGCTCACAGCTGCTGGCGAGAGGGATGGGGCAGTCCAGGAGAGGGACTGTCTGGTGTGACTTATGTGGTGCAGATAAAATTCAGAGTGTGGTGGGACAGGACAGCTAGAGGAAGCCAGGGCATAGGCAGCCCTGCAGGACTTCACTTCCATGCAGGGGTGAGAGGAAAGAGAAAATCCCTTGAACATGGTCCAACCTTTGGCTTCTGCCGTTTGAGCAGCCAGGACACATGGGACTCAACCTCCTCCATCCCTACAGAAGGTCTCAGGCCTATTCTTGTCTCTTGCCCTTTTCTGCTACTGGTGACTCCTCTTCTGGCAATGGTCTGCCTTAGGCTGCAATGTTTGTGTGATAATCAGTCATAATTTTTCTATTCTATGAAGGCATAACCAGCCTGGGCATCATTTAATTCAGTGGAGGCCAAACTTTTTGGCAAGTGTGCCCCAAACTAGCCTTGCACCATCCCTGAATGCCACCCTGACCCCCATGCTTTGGCCAAATCTGCTGCACTGCTTTCTACTCTCTACCTTATCTGCTGCTGCACTGCCTGTTCCCTCCCCAGTATACCAAATACCATGCATACAGCCTGCTCCTCCCACTTGTGTCACATTTGCTGCAGGTTGGACACCTCGTATATAAATGCTAGTTTACATACATTGAATGGGTGCAGGAAAATGTAATTTCAGGCACACCAGGACACAGAACTCAGAAAACAGGATTACAACAGACACTTAGTCATTATCCCTATCATTAGTTTACTGGTTAGTCTGTAAAGGCATCCTTATGCATGCTCCAGGGCTGGATGGGCACTTTAATTACAGTGACTCTTGGGAACTGCTCTTTTTAAAGTGCCTGCAGCTTCTCATGTATTCAGTGTCCTGTGCTTCAAAATGGTGGTGGGGGCCCTTTAACTAAAATTCATTCCACAAGCTTTAGTTAAAGCGCTCCCGCCATCATTTTGAAGTTCAGGGACACTGAATACACAAGACACAGAGGCTTCTGGAGCCTAATGAGCATGCTCCAGCAGACTCAATTAATTGAATCTGCATTGACGTGTGTAATTACAGCATGTCAGACCAAGTGTCCCACATTTCTACAGGCACCCTGCCCTGCCTTCTGCCTCTCTTCAGCTTAGCAATTAACCACTTCTTACTAGTCTACTGCTGCAAGCTTCTAATATCCCATGCAAGGTAGGTTAAAGCTTGTTTCTCTAAATGACTGACAGGAAAAATAGAAAAATTGAAGAATGAAGCAATTGTCCATCTGATCAGAGGGAGAATTACGATATGTCTAGTTCTTTCTATTTATTTCCATAAGTTTCCTTGTCTGATCTCACAAGATATTAAAATAATTCACAAATAATTTGCAGCCATGAGAGCTTACTTGTAAAAAATGTTATTCTAGTTTTATGGCATCATTGCAAAACCAAACATTGAAGAAAGATGAATGTCTGGGCCACTCGGTTTTCTGGGAGGTTCAGTAATATTTTTGTTCTTCATTAGAAAATAATCTCTCGTTAACAGGTACACGAACAATCATGTCCTGCATAAACACCATATTGGAGACAATCCAGTTCCTGGTATTGTTTATATATTACTACTTTGAGGCTTTTATTTTGCTGTTTTTTCCTACTCATAAAAATGTTGCTGGTGAAATAGTGCTAATTACAGGAGCTGCAAATGGGATTGGAAGGGAGATTGCCATACATTTTGCTCCCCTTGGAGTCAAGCTGGTTCTCTGGGACATTGATGAAGAAGGAAACAAAGAGACAATTCGACTGGCCAAAATAAATGGAGCCAAAGAAATGTATGCCTACAGGTGTGACTGCAGTAATAGGAAAGAAGTCTATGAAACGGCTGATCTAGTAGGATATTATTTGCTGCTCCTTGCTTTTGTTCCTAGTATTGGAGTATATTAGATAAGATAAGCTTTTGCTCAAGCAGACTGACATCACAGATCTGTTTTGATAGAAATACATGTGAAATCCTGTTTGAAATGGCTTTCGTGTCTAGATCCCATTTGAAATGGTTTAAGTCATTATGCATTCAGGCAACTGTGTTTTTTTTAACCAGTTTTAAAACTCTATATTAATGTGTAATCTATAGTTATTTTGAAAGCATTATGTTGTCCGACTACATGCATGTAAAAGTCTCTCCTTTTGGAAGATACACTGAAACTCAAATACGGTTAGGAGAAAATTAGTGTTACATTATCAGACTGTGCTGCAATATCTTTCCAGTTGTTCTGGGGGCCATTATAGAATGCTGACTGTATTAAGTTATTCAGCAAAGCAATTATGCAGTGGTGTAGATAGGAAGAATAGCAGAAGTAATTTTTTTCCTTGGTCAAACACTCTGGCTCTGGGGAAGCGGTGGGCAGAGGGGAGTATCTCTTTCCACCTGCCACTTCTCAAAGCTAGAACTTACTCAGAAAGACATTATTTTATTTTCCCTTTTTGTGTTTAAATCTTATATAGCTATAAATGCCAGGTGGTCTTCAATTATATAGTCACTGTATGTGAGAGTGTCTAACATCATTTGGTAGAGATCATATAGGAATCTTGACTAATAAACATTCAATATGGAGATAAAATTATATGCTACTACATTGTTTTATTTAAGCCTTTTCACCAGGCCAGGTTCTAGCACTCCCTGCTCGCCGCTTTTCCCTGTTGCCCTGCTTCCCCACCCAATGACCCGGCACAAAAGAGAGCAGAGGAGCTGCACAGAAAACCCCCTCACCGCATCTCCTTCTACCCCACTGCCCCGGCAATGCACCTCCTAAACATGGGGCTGTAGTGAGGGCAGCGGTGTGGGGCTGCACCCTGCAAAACAGCAGCAGGCACTGAAAGTACATCACCAGGGTGGGAAGAAATCCTCACGTGGCTGTGCTGTCCTCAGCTGTGCTGGGTCACGCCTGCTGGCTCTGGAGGCCCTGGGGAAAAGAAGTAGCATGGGAGATTGAGCCCTCAGCCTGCGCCTGCCCTGGGTACACATCTTGGGGGGTGGGTCTCACCTGCCTCCTGGGATTGCATACAGCAGCAGGGAACCAGCCCTCTCCCTCCCCCAGATGAGCCACCCACAGCCCCATCCTGCTCCCAGCTAGGGCTGTGCAGCCATGCATTGTGATCCCAGGCCCCTTGCCCCACCCATATGGGCAGCAGCCTCAGTCTGCACCTGCCCTGGGTACAGATTTGGGTGGCACAGGTCCCACCTGCCCCCCGGGAGCCCACATGACAGTGGGAAACTAGCCCTTTCACTCCCCCAGACAAGCCACCCATGGCCCCATCCTTCTCCGTGTTAGGGCCCTGGAGCCACGCATTGTGGCCCCAGTCCCCTGTCCCTGGGCCCCAAGCCCCAATCCAAACCTGGCTGGGCAGCAGCCTCCCAGGTACAGATCTGGGGGGCACAGGTCCCCTCTGACCCCTGGGAGTACACGCAACAGTAAGGAGCCACCCCGCCTGAGCCCACAGCAGGGAGAAAGTGGGGGCAGGGGGCTGTGAACCCAGGTCCATAGCCTGGCAGCTGGGGGCCCCCTATAGCAGGACCTGGGAAGCAGGGAAGCAGGGGCTGTAGGTAGGGGGCAAGGGGGACCAGCAAGGTGGGGGCTCTGGATGGGGAGTGAAGGGCACCAGCAGGGCTGGGAGGGATGTGGAGGACCTTTAATTTTAATCATGGATTTTGCTGGCTTTAGCAGAGAATTTGTGATTTTTTTATCAGGGAAAATCAGGATCCCTGCTAATCACTTGTGTTTGCAGTAAACATATTTTCAGAAGAGAATGGCTTAAGAGAACAATCTGCCACCAAATGGAACAAATTGAGCCCTTTGTCTGCAGCAGTTTTTTCTGTTCAGTGGCTGTTTTGCTGTGTTACCAGAACTGATTAAAAGAGCTCATATGGCTCTTTTACATAAAGTGCAACTCCTCCTCCTCTTCTCCCCTGCCTGCCCTTCCCCAACAGTTTATACCCATCCATGACAGTGCCAGTCATATGAGCTATCCTACCAAGTCTCTGTTATTCTAATCATGTCATAGTTCCGTGACTGTGCAAGGACTTCTAATTCTTCCTGCTTGTTTCCCAGACTCCATGCATTTGTGTACAGGGACTTAAATAACTAGTCAATTGCCCTGATTTCTCATAAAGAATGAGAACACCCCCCTTGTTGCATCCTTCTGCTTGCTTTTCCTCCAGGTCACCCAATTACCTCAGGACTTTGGTCTCTATCCCCCAGCAAACCTAGTTTAAAGCCCTCCTCACTAGGTTACCAAGCCTGTTTGCAAAAATGCTCCTTCCTCTCTTCATTAGGTGCATCCCATGTCTTCCTAGCAATCCTTCTTCTTGGACTATTATCCCATGGTCAAAGAAACCAAAGCCTTACTTGCAACCCCACCTGCCCAGCCAGGCATTGATCTGCAGGCTGCACCTGCTCCTGCCCAGGTGCTTTCCCTTGACTGAAAGGATTGAAGAGAACACCACCTGAGCCCCCATCCCCTTCATCCTTGCACCCAGTGCCTTGTAGTCACTTTTGATCTGCTCAGGGTCTCCCCTGGCAGTATCATTGGTGCCCACATGGATGAGTAGCATGGGGTAGTAGTCAGACTGCTGGATGAGTCTTGATAATCCCTCTGTGGCATCTTGGATCCATGCTCTGGGCAAGTAGCAGACTTCCTAAGACACCAGGTGTTTCAGCTGCCTGAAGAGGGTTCAGGATTGAGAGTGTGGTCGAGGGTAGAAAGGTAAGAAAGGTTTATTGACTTAACAAAAACACGAGTACACGTAGTATACTAAGACAGATAATGACAGACAATAATAATTCGCATTGGCAACTTATCAGCAGTCCCCTCTGATGCCTGATGTATGACAAGTTTCTCTTTCCACAAAGCTCAGCAAAGTCAGGCATCCCCGATCAGCTCTGTCTGAGGGGTACTGGGAAGGATCCTGGTATTCAGTCTTTGGGATCCTTGAGATCCACAGGCCCACTGATCCAGGTCAACAGCTAATTAGTAGTTCCTTTCACAGAGCTGTATCTTCCTTCTAAATGATTTCTGGATGTGACAGCCAATTTATAACTTCTGAGCTATGCTGATAACTTACAGCCATTCAGATTCTTTTTACTTCAACTGTCCTTAGACTGACCAATAGCAGTACAA